CCGATCCTTGCTAGATTTTCATGTTCACTAAATGACCGTGACCTCCGTAACATTATAGTGCTTACACAGCATTATTTTTGGGTATAAATTTGCGTCAAAGACAAGTTTGTATTTACCAATTTTCTTTGGTTTAAAATCTCCTTTGAAGACCACTTCGCCGTACCAGACGAAGATGAGGGCGGTTTTTGAGTTAACATCAGCTATCCTGATTCTTTTCAGTCTTCTCTATACGGCTGTCGGTATGTCTGATTTTGCTTACCCAATATGACCAATACTAGTTTATTTTCTTTAGTCTTTCTAAAAAAGTTTTGGAAATTCAGAATCCCTCTCCAAATGGATAAGATTAACACCCGTTCCTAGAAATATTAATGTCAGTTTTAATTCGTCTGCAGAGGCTGATGTGGAAGAAGACGTAACATTCAAAATACTCGATCGCGGCGTTAAGGTCTCCAGATCTGAAATACTTAGAAGACTGAAGAGGGCGAACCTCATAAGATACGGATATAAAAGGGAAATTTCTACCAACAGGCGTATTGAAAACAACAAATCAGAGTTCAAGGTAAGCCCTGAGATTTTTTTTCTCACTCAAACGGTTTATAGCTTTCATGGCTTTGTGTCCACTAATTCAAATCAAGTTTAATTTTGCTAGGCTTTTGTTTTATTACCAAGGCTTCGTTTTGTTCCATGTTAGTGTAGTTCGCAATGTTTTTATGCTCAAAATGAAGCTTTACTTCTACAGTAATTATTTGATAATTTTTTCCTTCTCCTTTAGAAATCAATCTTCTACTACAAGAAAGGAAACTGCTCAGAAATTCTGGCGATTGAAAGACAATTACGCCAGTTGATATTCCGCGGTAAAGTGACTGTTTGCCCTCTTACCCAGCTTAGAGCCCCTACGTACCCTTCTACCAAAATTTAAACGTCGCTGAAAAAATTTGTAGAAAAAGGTATCTTCTTCAAATGGCCCACTCATTTCAAATTTTCTTTTTCCGTCCCTTAAAAGTCCTAAAATATTACTTAGACTGGAAAGTTACTTTTAATCAATACGCATCCAAGTGAGGATTTTGATGTCGTTACGTAGCTGCACAGTCTCTGTTTTTTTTAGTCCGTCGAGTGAAACTCTGACGCGAGAAAATAAAATTATCGCGCTCCTGACTGAACGTTTATTATATTTTCCTGTTCATTCTTAGGTCGTTTGGGAAAAGGCATTCACAATAGACTGAGCACAGAAGTGAAAAACAATCCGCACTTGCTGAAAAACGGGAGTCAGTGTAAATCGGGACTGGAGATAGATTTCGTCAGGGTCACCCGTGAGCGCTCTCTTCTCAACAGGAGATACAGTGGAGAGTCCCTGAAACAATTTGACCCGTCCGACGATACAAAAACAACACATTCCTTTACAATCAACCTTGGTTTTTTTAGTTACACTTACACTAGAGAAACAACTACGCAGTAGTAGCGGTGGCGGCGGTGGTTGGCGCCGCAAGTTATGCTGATACTGCATGCCAGCCACGAATTTCAAGGGTTTTACTAGCTGCGAGGGTAAATTTTTAAGCAGTGGGCTGATTGTAACTCGATTCGAAGTAAATTTGCTTGTAAGTTCTAAGATGAAATAAACTCATGGTTAAACCTTAATTTTTGGAGTTGTAAAAAGTTGTGAAAGTTGATCTTCACCAAATAATGAGGAAATATACCTGGGTGTCCGTATAAGAAAAAAACCGAGTTGTCGAATGTCCACCCTGAGCAAACAATAGCATGGCAGGTATTTTTCCAAGATGATGGGGGGGACAAGCAGATCGTACCAAGGACAAGAGAGAAGTTTTAACTTTCAAATGCTTTTAGTTGCATCAAACGTAATCTGTCTAATCTGGGCAAGATGGTGGAAAATTCAAAGCTAACTAATTCTTCCTGAATTCGACTCCTTCTCTCTGAAAAGTGTGACTTTTAATTTCTTATAATTACGAGAGGGGATGCATTAAGTCTGGAGTCAGAGCAGAATAAATTCAAAAGTACAAAAATTCCTCCGAAATGTACACTCTTTATTACAAGAATATATTTTATAAGAATATCGAGGCGTAAATTTGCGAAATTTTAAGACTATTTTAAGTAAAAACCCGAGGCTGAGATTTTGAAAGGGGTATAATTTTGTGTTGAAAATCTTTTAATTAGTACAATGCAATTATATGTTTTTAACTTAACTGAAGAATTATTCCTTTCTTTTAAAGGCACAAATAGCCACCAAAACAAAAAAAACGTGCATTAACTGCAATTTATACCTCAATACATTCAAAAAAGGAGAAGTCAGGGGCTTTAATTTAAGAATAATAAAAGAATATTTCCAGCCTAAAACCGGCAGAAAAATAAGGATGTTGAGCCTGAGCTGGAAAGACAGCATTCAAATTCTTAATTCATTCTTAAAACTACTATAGACACACCAGTTTTAATTCTTTCTTTGAATTTATAAGTTGCACTTTCTAAAGAGAAAGCCGTTAAATATAATATTTATTCTAAAAAATAAACTGGCTTCATTAAGTTCCAATACAAACCTTTGAAGTCCCAAGATCTTGACCTGATTAGCCTTGATGGAACTAAAAGCGTGAACTCGTGTATTAAAATCCAAAAAGAAAAATCGGGGCACTTAGAGACTGTTTTCTGTGAAATATCTATTGGAAGAATCGCATGTTGTCTAGAATTTTCTATAGCTGGAGGGCGGCTAAAAATTCCCGGATGACCGTCCCATTCATGCACGATTTTCAAAGCTTATGTAATTCCCTTCCATTCTCTTTATTCACACTTCCCTTCCTAGGTTAAGCCGTATTTTCTCAAAAAAGGACACCTAAAATTTTCGGATTCAAAAATATGATGAAGAGAGGAATAAAAAAAATCTTCACCTTCTTAAAGCTGTTAAAGCCTTAAATAGCATTTAAATTTTTCGCATGGTTAGAAATCTTGGACAGGCATGCGCTCTCGAGACAGTCAGTTTTTTGCGTTACATTGCGTCACAAAAGGCCACAGTGGGAGAAAAGATATAAAATCCATCCTACCTCATTAACTCAATGAAAAATACATATTGTTCACTGCGATTCTGCTAGCAATTGAGGAAACCTAAAAGTATTGCAAGGAATTGCACCTCTCCGAGTCGTAATCGATGCGTTATTCATCATTGAAGATCCGAAGAATTTCTCCATCAGGACAGTATGGCGGAATGCTCAAAACATTCAGTAAATCCAGCTTTCGATGAATGCCTCCCGGCTCGCACCGTAACGTAATTTGACATTTATTCACTGCGATTTTGAAACTGTTGAAGCCAAGCTTTAAGAAACGGTACAGGACATGCATCTCTCTGCAATCTGTTGCTGATGTGTTTTCTTGTGGTCTAAAACAAGCCGAAAGAGACCCTGCCATTCTCGGCTAAACCTCAAGATCTTCGCTGTGCCATATCTTGGCTAAAATTAATCCAAATTTCCCCCAAAACCACTCGTTGAAAAGCTTGTTATTGCCGCCATTTTTTGGGCAATACTCTCAGTCAGCGGCTTCAGCTGGACCACAAACAAGTCTGAATTTCGCTACTCAATAGGGCCATTTATACGAGGAAAAATAAGAAGCGTCTTACATAAGACGCGTCTTAAATAAGACGCGAACTGTACCATTTATACGAGCATGTCTTATCTAATAAGACGCGTCTTAGCTAAGCCGCGTCTTATTTTATACGAAATGTGCCGTTTATACGGAAAGTTCGCGTCTTATGTTAGACGCGTCTTATTTTTCCTCGTATAAATGGCCCTAATGTGTCCTAGACCTATGAGCCCGAAAACACGCAAAAATCCAGCGGAGTTGTCCATTACGTGACAGTTTGAAATCTCACGAAATTTCATATCCGAGATTTTAAGCCATGGGAAAGTAACATTCAGATAACCCGTTGTAATTTTGAAAAGACTTAAGTTGTCCTAATATTTATAGCGCCGCTCAGAACGCATTTCTAGATATCTAACACTCTTTAACCCGGGAAAGCCTAAAAATTGTTTTCAATATACCGTATTTACTCGAATAAGCGCCCAACCTCGAATTAGCGCCCACCTCGAATAAGCGCCCATCCTAAAGGCAGAAAAAGTTAATAAGCGCCCAGCCTCGAATAAGCGCCCACCCCCTCCTCCTCCCAATCAAAATCAATTAAGCGATCACCCCCACCCCACCCACCCACTTGAGTAAATAAATTCCAATAGGAGACTTTCCCGAGGACAGAGTTTTCTTCAGAGTATTTTACAGAAACCTTACTTTGTTACTTCTTCGCGTTTTGTTATTAGCATTTATTGTTTTGTTGCAAAATAGACATACTTCACTTGCTGAAAATGGTGAAAATTTAATAAGCGTCCAGCCTCGAATAAGCACCCACCTCGAATAAGCGCCCACTCTCAAGGTCCAAAAATTTAATAAGCGCCCAGGGCGGTTAATTGAATAAATACGGTATTCAAAACTATCGTTGGGTGTAAAGTGTGTATAAGTTGGTATCTTCCCAAGGATGAAGAACCTAGTTCCCGAAAAGACGAAGTTACATCTGTTTAAAGCGGTAATTATCCCGAAGCTAAACTGTTGCTCACTTGTTTGGCTATTCCTTAGAGCATCTGATCGGCGGAAACTGGAGAGGATACAGGAAAAGGGACTGAGAGCGGTTTTGAAGGACAGTGTATCAACAGACGAAAATCTGTTAAAGAAAGCAGGATTACCTAGATTGCGTAACAGAAGACTGCAAGACCTGATGGTGTTAATGTTCAACGTCATAAAATGGACTATCTCCAAAGTACAGTATTAGTCACTTTCAATATGGCAGCGTTTGTTTACATTTTACGCGCGCTAGTTTTAACACAGTTTGCGGCAAATCTAACTTAGACACTTGGCATTTAATTACTACCGTTCTCCAGAATGTACATAAAATATAGTTTGTAAACGAATGTCTCCACTCGATGCGGAATGTATTTCTTTCAACGGTCTTAATTACCCTTATAATAAATTAAGCCTAAATATATTCTCATGTATTTAACTCAGGTTAGTACAGGGTGGAAAAGGGGTTTTCCGTGACGCGTGATGGGTCACAAATTATCAGCGTGATGCGTGGTCGGGCACAAACTGTAGCCGCGTGAGGCGTGACTGGGCATAGCAGTGTCTTTTTAGCTGGGTGGTGCGTGATTTTCTATGTTCACAACGCGTGACGCGTGAATTTTCTTATAGATTTCCGTGATTGGGGGATGTCTTTGAAACTAGAAGCACATGGATTAAAAACAGATAGTCATGACATATTTTCTTTTCTACCCAAAAAGGACCCTAAAAGCAGTTTATTAGAGCTGAATTTTTCAAGGATTGATATATTGCCATGTTAACTTACTGCACTTGTACCTCATTTACATGATGCGTGATGGCTAATTCAGTTTTCCACGTGATGCGTGATGGCCCAAAAAAAGTCAGCGTGATGCGTGATAGGCACCCCCCTAACTTGGTTTGCTACCATGGTAACTTGATGTCAAACATGTTATTTTTAGGAAATAAAAAAAAATTGCGATATTGTAGACTTCTAAGTCGGAAAAATAATATTAAGTTTGACATATAAAATATTATTAATGAGATTTATACTTATTGAGGCAAGTGCCGAATTTGTACATATGTCAACAGAGAATATTCTAATTTATTATATGAAGGAGAGTGTTTTACTGGGAACTAAACCACTCGTAGATTCCATACGCCACTTCATCCGGGACCCGAGTGACGTATTTTCCCTATGTCACCTTTGTGAGTGTCGTATCGTTCAATGACGTCACGATTCCCGCCTTTTGCTTTTGTTGAATTGGTTTCTCGATATAATAAAAAGAACATTACACGTTGGCTCGAAGATATGAATTTTATGTTCGAGTGGCAAGAACAATATCTCACGAGTGAGCGAAGCGAACGAGTGAGATATTGTTCTTGCCACTCGAACATAAAATTCATATCTTCTCGCCTCCGTGTAATATCCTCTATCTATGTCCAGGAAAAAAAAATTGGTGGAAAAATTTTAAAAATTTGTTTGATCTTCCGTCATTTGACATTTATTTGAGAACTCTCGTCCTAACACGACACTTCAGAAGGGAGATCTAGAAGGACTCTAAGCTACAAAAGTAAAACGTAAGCTTTAAATGAAGAAAAGTCAATTAGGAGCGTTTCGCTCGGGCTAAATTTTAGAATTACATCATTCTTGATATTGTTTACGTTCGCGCAAATGCAGCCTGCATACCAACAATTCTTTGTAATTACATTACAGGAAATTGAAACGCTTATAGAAAACCACTTTGCTCATATACGGAAGATACAAATCACAATTCATTATGATATAATCAGCGGTTACCTTGAATATTTATATCACGGTCAACTAAAAATTATTACTAAAAAAGGTTACTAATATAGATCCATGAAACGTTAAGCAGCACACGATGCAATGCATGATCGCTTTTGCGTTCAGCAAGGTACTTTAAATCGCATAAATGAGGATTGTTTCGATCATTTTAAACCTGAAATTTCAAAGATTTGTCCCCTGAGTAAGAGGTACGCGGCGAGTCCTCTCTTGGTTTTCATCGGGGCTCTACTACTTTTCTCTACTCTAGTTTTTGGAACTCCGTCATGAATAGGATTAACAAGTTTAAAAAGAGCGTAGTTTTCACTGTTTTGCACTAGCACCTTTCGGAAAATCGGGAAAAAGATGCCGGGGTCTGCAATAGTATAGGATGCTGTAAAGCTAGAGATGATTGCCAAATGGTCCGGACTGATTTAATTTTTTTTTACTGCTCCTTGAAAGGAGTACTCATATTCACAAATATACCTTTTTTACTACTTTTACTACTTTTACTACTTTTTTCAGTAGCCGGTGGTAATTTAAGTCTCCTTTCGCTCGTAGGGCAATTGTATTCTCGGCAAGTTTGCTCTCAGTAACGTTTTAAAGTCAGAGGCTACCCTCCGGGGGGGAGGGTACTCCCTTATAAGGGCTTAATGGGGACGTGAGGCCAGCCAGGGTATGTTTTTCGGGATTTTTGTCTCAAACAGGGTGTCGACTTTATCATTTTTTGTCTTAATCAGGGTATCGATTTTATCAGTTTTGTCTTAAGCAGGGTATCTTTTTAAATAGTTTTGTGATTGTCAATGGATTAAATAAGAAAGAGTTTCGATATTTATTATTGTCTTACACAGGGTATGGTATCAAAAATCGGAATTCTGTCTTAAACGGGGTAGGAAAATCAGCGATTTTGTCTTAAACAGGGTCAGGGTATGAGGAGCCCGGCCGCACCTCCCCACCCAAGGATATGTCGAGTAACCCCCCGGCCACCCAATCGCTACTAGTTTGTCCTTTAACAAAGAAATCAGCCTATATTTCTTTTCATTAACGGTATATATTGACTGTGCACTATTCCGGGCTACCCCTTCCAGTATAAGAGATATTACATGAAGTTTATATTGGTCTGCGGTTCAAACTTAGTAACCTTGATAACCACATGCTCATGCTGTTGAGCCAATTAGTCACGATATAAGATCACTTAAGCGAAAATATTATCCCAGTAACGCACTGGAATGCATGGGCGGACAGTTCATCACCAGAATACATATCCACTCGACTCATACCGCCGTCAGAGAAAAAACAACAAAACATGTTTAGTCATCATGAGTAAACGGAATGATATCGTATAGCGGCGCATTACAAGGGTTAGTCAGGGCAAATGATTAACTTAGCTTGAGCAAATTAGGACTAATTCAGGGAAGCTAACGTGCCTTCTCATAAGACCTTTTTGGAACCAGGAGCCCATGTTGGAACCCAAATCGAAAAATAGGCTACATGTCGCGTTAACTAATTTCATGCTATACAGTGCAATTTTTTTCATCTAAGGGCGAAAGCTGGACTAATATCAAGCGGGATAAAACTCAGTTTCTGTATTAGTGACGTGGTGGGTTGAATGCAACTTGAAAGTATTGCTCAACATTTTTGGAGAGTTTTTTCATGTGTCTTTGAAAAATAATCATTATCAGTCTTCTAGATGTCTTTACAAAGGGAATCCAAGTAGGATAAAAATAATGTAAGATTTCAACCCAGCGATACAAGCGCTCGAGCACTTTACACCCCCTCCCTGATGGGGGAGTAGTCGAAGGGACTCATGTCTACTCCTTGACTGAGTTAGCGGTCCGTTTCTCGAAAAACCCGATAATTTTTTATAACTAGTCTGAGGTATAAAACTGTCTGTTTGCTAGGACCCCCCTTCTTTAGATTTTGATGTTGATTTCGGGACCGAAACGTGTACTGATCATAGTTTTGTGGAACGGGTCCCCGGTGACGTGGCTTAAATTTTGAGCATAACTGAAAAGTGTGAAAATATTTTAAGATGCGCAAAATATACAAAAAACAAGTTTAAAGCTAGAGAAAATATCCCGGTATAATATATCGATAAATTGATCATCGATATCAGAAACATTAGGAATTTACTGTCAGTCAATACTTTTTAGTTCTAAAACCCCGGAAGGGTCAAAGCGGTGTCATCAAAACGGTGTCGTGTTTTAATATACTGTGTCAACAATATAAATCCACTAAATATAAGAACGCGGATATTTTGGCGGGGAACCAAGATTGAATTCGTTGCTCATAGTAACTTGCCGAAGGTTTGGCTACTGAGTCAAGTTAAAGCAGGGTCTGTCTTCCGGTAGAACATTACAGTTTTTTGCTGCCTGATTCTTGACTCTTACGAAAGGAAAAGCTGAGGTAAGTGACCTGTCAGTTAAAGTTAACATTGCAGCGTTTCATAATTTTCTAAGCTCGCAGCAGATGGCTTTTTCCATGAGTAAGGCCTCGTTTCCGGAGACTACGATTAACTCGTTACCAATGTTCATGCTGTACTATCCAAATCCAAATTCCCAAATGCAAGTATCATATATACTTGAATAAGCGATGCATGTACATTGAATATAATCAGATAAGGTGCGGAAAATCGCTAATAGAACTGGATGAGATTCACTGGAGATTCCGTGACGGAAATCAGTCTCTTTTCTGGTGGAACCTTTGCCGGTTCTTAAGGCCTCGCTTTGTCCATCTTCAGTCACGCTTTTCATTACTTTTACTTCCCCGCCACCACATAAACATAACCAAAGCCACATTTGGAAGGTCTTGAAAAACCATACATGAAGAAGATGCTGGATTTAAATGGAGACATAAACTTGACTATTCTCCACAGGCTAGACCGTATCGAACCGTACTGTGAAAATGAGCCGAATATCGCCTCAGGCGACTCCCATTTCTTCTTACCCAGAAGATAATCAATAACGCTATTTATAACTGAACGCCAAGGCATTTAAGTATATGGTGCCTTCTTTTTATTGACCTCCTTCGAAAAGTGCATCATGCTTTCGGCGTTATGCACGAATCATGTACGTTGACAAAAACAAAACAGTTAAAACATACTAATTAATTCCATAAGTATAATCCTGAAGTCTGGTTAGGAACGGACCGTTAGAAAACTTATGGGGGGGGGGGGGGGGGGAAGAAAAAAAAAATTTTGGTGAAGGGAAAAAAAAAAAAAAAAAAATATATTACACAATAAAACCCTTAAAAAAATATATATGACAGTCCCAAAAAAAAACCAAAAAAAAAATTGGACAAAAAAAAAAAAATTTTTGTGCACAAAACAACTGTATTTTATGTCTTTAGTGTCTGTTTTTTTTGTTCGCCCGCAGAAAAAAACTACGCTATAGTGGCATAGTTAACAAAAATGAAGTAACGAAAAAAAAAAAAAAAAATAAAAACATAAAAAAATAGTCCAAAAGAAAAACCGGGGGAGGTGGGGAGGAAGGGGCGTTGAAAAAATTTAGGGGGGGGGGGGGGGCGAAGTACAAAAAATATTCGTGCAAGGGAAAATTAAATGAAAAAAATTCATGTACGCCAATTAACCCTTAAAAAATATTCATGCTACGGCCTAAAAGCAATTCATACAAGGAATTTGATAACGAAAAAAAATTTGTGCGGCTCAAAAATCCTCCCCTCCCATAACTTTTCTAACTCACGTGACGTTTTCTGGTTGTTTGATGAGGCTCACCAACCCAAGAGCGAATAACCACGACAGCGACACTAAAATCGAGAGAAACTGAAACTGAAATGATTTGTAGTTGATAAAAATCAAATATTGTCATACATTCAACTGAGAATTTCAAGTTGGGATATAATTTCAAAAATCGAATATTATTATAGTAGAAGAGGCCTGAATAACAAAAATGAAAAACTGGTAAAAGAAATTAACCTCATGCAAGCGCGTCTTGCGTTTTGAGTGAAAAGAGTCTTTCATTTGTTTTTCTTAGGCTTAAATTTTTTTTTGTATTAGGAAGCGTATGAAATCTGGACAGCGTCGGCAGAATGGCAACCCTTCACTTTTTACGTGTAAGCTATTTTTTCTGCACTTGAGTTCTAAGGGACGGCGTTGATCCAAGTTCTTTGAATAACAAAGACAAAGTTGTAGCAATTATAATGTGTTCGGGTGCAATAGAAATTTTAGGTCGCAGGTCTAGAATGAGACAAACAAAACTTGACGCCGGTGGAGCCCTTGAAGAGCTGTTAAGGGCGGCCCCGCAAACGAGGAAGTAAAATGTTGCCCAGGGAAACGAGAAAACAATGAAAGACATGCTAATGCTTCCTCCTTTGGGCGCAACGAAAATATTCTTTCGTTTCCTAGCAACCAAAAAATGTATCGTTAAATTTCCATTTAGAAACATTTTGTCTCTGCAACAATTGTTTATCACTTCGTCAAAAGATTGATTGAAATTGGTTAGTTTCCAAGGACAAATTCTCGGCTGCCGGCATTCCCTTAACGTCATTTGAATGCGCTCCTCTTCTAGTGTCCTAGTTTCTTTGCTTCATCAAGTATTTTATCAACTACTTTTTTTAATTGTTTTATCTTACCTCTTTTTGACTATGGGGATATCATTTGGGGTGATCAGGGAAATGTCTCCTTGATGTCTGATCTACAAGTGTTGCAAAATAAAGCAGCCCGACTCATTTAGATCTTCCTGCGCATTGTTCTGCATCCGAGGCACTGAAGAGACTTGCATTGGGTGGAAGTCTTTATTACGGCGTAGAATGGAACATCAAGCTATTTTTATGTACAAGTACGTAACAGTCATGTTTACTGCTTGATCCCAGTTTCATTCAACTGTGATTTTCATGATTATTATACACGGTCAACAAATGACATTCTCAAATCCACTGCCACAAGACGCTGGGGTCACTGGTCGTCAGTTCATTTCACTTCTAATATTTAGAAACGTTTAGACACTTCTTTGAGGGAAACAGAGACACTTTCCTCACCACAGGGTCCAGAGGAGTTTCGTGTGAATAAATGAATTACTTGAAAAATGTCTATATTTGTCGCTAAGCACGATTAATTAGCCCAATGGGATCTTAATAAATCTACTGTAAACGATTTCTTCGCTCCTTATCTGACCCAGATCGACTTTGTTGTTCGCTATTTTGAAAATCAATAACCGCAAGCCATATCCTCGCTGGCACACGGAACGTCGCCCGAAGTGCATATTAAAAAAAAGGACAAGCTTTCCGTATTTTATACTGTAAGCCGATCTTGCGAACCCTCAGTCTCTTGGTTTGGGGTCAATAGAATGTGTAACGAAACTGTAACGCGATCAAAATAGCCCATTTTTTCAGAGGTTTTCGACGCGTTTTGATGTTCTAACGACAAACACATCTCCTCTGGACCCTGTGTCCTCACGCGCTTCGAATTGTTTGTGCACCAAGAATCTTTCTTCCGCATAACTTTTCCCAGCTTTTTTAAACTTATCGTTGCCATGACAGTTCACAGACGGAGTTAGGAAAGGTCCCTTCTATATGCAATTTAACGCCAGTCGTAAAGTGGATAACAATTGACATTATAGCTTGAAGGAAGTTTAGGTCGTACAAGGATTAGTATCCAATATCTCCTGCTCCGAGACAAAACCCAGAACAACTAATTACTTAAAGTAATTGACAAGACTTGACCTGTATTTGATTCGTCAGATTGTTTCATCGTGCGCATTTTTTTTTTCCGTTGTGGAACAGCACGTTCCGTCCTTAAACTTTAAAACACGCGACGAGATAGGACGTGTTGGTCGATCCAAAATTAAGGTAAGTTTAAAGTATGAGGCAATTTAATCGAATCGAATTTTATACTTGGCACGCGTACGGTTCGACAGAAATTCAAGAGTTTTTGCTTACGTAATAAGTGAATTCGCATAGCGTCAGGAAGACTGTCATCTTATCATCAGGGAAAGACTGCTAGTATCTCTGCCAAGCGTCTTCATGTACAGGGTTGTGTACGTACTTAGCCGATAAGTTTTTTTTGTTTTGACATCAGTGATGCGCTCGTTATCTGTGACCAAACGGGATTAGGTAGACTGTTCACAGTCCCGGGGGGATACTTAAGCGATTTTTGGATGGTGATGTGCCGCTGGGACCCTGAAATCCTTAGCCTACACCAGAGCTAGTTCAAGTGAATTTTTCTACCCTATACTAGACTAAACTCCCCAAATCCCCCCTATCCTAGAGTAGCTGTTTTCCAGAAACTACTGAGGTCACTAATACAGTCCAGCCAAAACAAAACAGATTTGATTTTTGTTTATTTTTGAGTAGCAATTCCCGGTTTCCCTAGTCTACACTAAAATCTTTAATCAATTGATCAGTTTCCAGCAAAATGATACCCTATTCTAGACCCAAACTCTCGGATGTATATAGCCTATTCCAGAGTAAACTGCTTGAAAACCATACCCTTCACAGCGGCAGATAGCTATATAGCCCATATATGGCAGTACCCCCGGGTTCGCAGTCCTCTATTTTTCCGTGATCGCGCAAAAAACGGTACCCTGAGTGCCAAAGACTTTTCACGCGCAGTTTCCGGTCACGGTCATTCTTTGTAGTGACTTCGTTTGGCCGAAGCTGCGTCCGCCGACACCGAAGAGTCCCGCCTCAAGAGCGAGAAAACGCAGCCAGGGTAGCCTACCTGCCATCTTGATTTCAAATGTATCGAGGTGGTGGTCCCGGGGTATTCAGCGATGGGGGAAGTGAGACCGTTCCCCCTCCTCCCTTTAATTAGATTTGGCTCATTAGAAACCAAGATGGCCGCCCCGTAAGGGTAAAGCCCTGGGAACGAAGTTGAACGGGGAAGGGGGGGGGGGGGGGGGGGAAAATTTTACGCGCAAAAGGCGGGAACAGGGGACCGTGGTGGCCGCTCCGCTATTTTTTTTTAAGAGGGGTGGGGGGGGGGGGGGCGGGGGGTGGGGGGGGGGGGGAACTGGCCCCTCCCCCCCCCCTCTTTTTTAATAGATGTGGCAAAAAAGAACAAAGGGGGGGCGCCCAGGGAAGGGAAGGGCGGGGGGAGGGGGGGGGGGGGGGGGGGGGGGGGGGGGGGGGTGTGAACATTTTAGGGATTGGGCCATGTCGGGGGTTCCTAAGGTCTTTGGCCACAAGAAACAAATATGACGTAAGTCACTTCAAGATTGTTTACCACTTACAATTAAAAAATGGGAAAAAACCGGTGAGTTTGTTCATGCACGCGCACGGTTTGGGCAAAATCCAGCCTGAAACTGGCGTCAAAAATTGATTCTCAACCAAAGAAATACGAGCACAAAAACAAGAACCAGTAGAGAGTGTTTCCCATCGGGTAGGCTGTAGAACGGGCGTCAGTAAGCAGGAGGTGGGCGGAATGCACTTTGTCCCTCCGCGCGTGTCTACGTCTCGTGCCCCTCGTCCGCCGCCTAGCGTTCGCGTTTGCGGCCTTCTCTCGCCGATACCTGCTCTGTGTACATTTCACCCACAGACAAAGGAGTAGAAGGACGCTTATCGGTTATCTAATTATCCCGTCCTCATATCAAATAATCGAGGTATTACTGAACATGGCAGCTTGCAGGAAAAATATTAGTTCATGATATTACGTCTTTAAAACTCAGAAGACCGTGAACATTGGGAAAGATTTTTTTCTTGTGGGGAGGGAAAGGGGTAAGGTGATACTGAATTTTCATACTGCCATTTCATTATTTCTTGAGCCAATTTTCCCTTGCATGATACCCTTGTCCCACATTTTTTGCAATGGTCCGTCTCTTCATAGTAGTTGCAAGGAAAAAACCAAATAGTAATAAGGATTGAGAAAAGTAACCTACAAACGGTAACAAAAATGCGTTTGTGTACCCTTCGTGGTTTTCAAGTTTGTTGCGTGTCCTCAGTAGACGTGTTTTCTTTTTTTCCGGGGGGGGCAGAGGAAAAAGAGAAGAAAAGACCCTCTGATCGAGCGCGTCCTTATTTTTGTTTGAATTGGTCACCACACAACAGACATTCCTGAAATATCTTAGGTGTTTACGGTCTTTACGGTTTCTGAGTTTGCCAATGACAAATGTAGGTTTTTTGTCCGCGTAAAATGTTATAGGCACGTATGAACCTCTAACCACGTTTATTTCATAGATGAAGTTTTCCACGGATGATAATTACACGGTGCTAATGTTTCAGGAATGGAGGGTGACCTCGATAACAGGTAAGCCTGACCTTGATCTTCAAACTCAGTGCACGACAGCAATGCATGTTGTTAAATCTGCATGCTGTGGATCTTTGTCATCTTATCTGTGAAGTTACTTAGGTTATGTACTGAAGGAAATCACGATTAGAAACCAAATTTTAAGTTGTTTGTTTCTTAATCGACTTTAAGTAAGAAAAAAAAACAGACGACGAAAAACAACGAAATTCTTTTCATGTCGGTCTTAAAACATCAGTGATCAGAATGACGGGTCGCCCGTGGTGCTGGTTTTCTAAGCCCCCTACAAACTTTAAGTGCTAATTGCGCTCTTAAAGAGGAGCTAGACGAACCAGCTGATGAAAGTTATTGAAAAACCGGTGGAGTAATTTAGGTATACTTTATTCTCCATTTGCGCAACAACACTAATAAGTCAAGTCAGCATTTAATAATCAATGTTGATACACGGGATTCATTTGTGACAAGATAAGAAAATTTTAATTAATTATGTACCTTCTGGTACTTTGAGTAACAATGGGATGGGGTTATTAAATTTGACCCGCGGAACTTCGGGCATGTGGCGTCCGTACAAAGAAAAGAAATTCAACAGTAGAAAAGAAAATCGCATATCTTCGCACTAACTTTTGATTGGATAGAAGTGCACTTCACAGCTATTATTATTTTCAGTTCTCGTATTCGATTATTTTCTTTTTCTGACTTATCATTAAATTAAAGGTCCTCATTTTACGTCGGTAACTCGTAATAATTCTTAATTATGCGTACAAAACTGAGGCCAGCGCAACGCTCATTTTTCCCTCCTCTCTCCATCAGTGCTCCGTTGTACGGTTAAAATCTACCCAAAGCCTACACGGGGGAGTGGGGGGCGGGGAAGGAGTCGAAACAAGGACCTATCGGTAGGTCACACCTTCAAATCGAAATTAGAAACTCCCGCACAGGATTTAGGGCACTAACCGACTGTGTAAATCCTTCCTGCGTTAGTTTTTGTGCACATGCTTTGCCTTGGATAAACCTCAAGCAGATTTTCAGCAATGTCGGACTAGCCTTTTTGAAGACTATCGAATGCGAAAAGGAGTCAACACTTACTCCTCCTACCCTCCCCCCCCCCTACCCCCACCCTACTCCCATTTCCCAATTTCCACTCGCTCTTAAAATGTTTAAGTTCACCCTGGCATTCTACTTAATTTTAAGTACTTTGAAAAAAGCCTATTCACATGCTTAAATTTTACATGCCTCAAGTGCGGCGCTTATTCGATGGGCGGTGCTTATTTGAGAGTGGCCTTTATTTGAAAGTTGGACACGATAAAGGATTGTGTTATCTACAGCATTATCATTTTCCCTATTAGAAATAGTAGAATTAACGTGTTTGAATTTGGTGGTTTTGATTATATCAGGGCCAGGGCGCTTATTCGGGCGCGGCGCTTATTAACTTCTTTCTCCCGAAGCAGTCTGCTCTCGAAGGCATCGCTTATTTGAGCGCTGCGTTTATTCGAGTAGATAGGGTACGTCGTCATCTCTTACTCTTTGGTATCCTGTTTATATGACCTGCCTTTTTGGAATTGCTAGATATTAGTGGATCACTTGTGGCAGTTCTTGCTCTGGCCGTCCTGTACGAGTGTTTGAAAGGACTCCACGTAACGCTGCGATCCTATATGAAATGGCGTTGGCAAGATCCGTTGTCCAATAGCATAATTTACATCTTGTCGAGGTGAGATTCAAAGATTTATTACTAGTACGATAGAAGTCGTAGAAATAGACTACCATCTAAGTGGTAACAAGTTGTGACCTGCATTTACATTCTTGGCCGGCAAAGTAGACAGAATATTTAGACCATCTCCCCTCCCCCCAGATAAAGGATGAGAAAATGACACGTTTTGTGCTTCGCTTAATCCTTGATTTCAGGGTGTAGAGGATTCTTGCTGATCCATTTTATTCTCTCCAATAACAAAAATATCGCTAACAAAAGGGTGGGGAAGCGGTTTCTGCGGGGTTGGTATGCTGAAAAATTATACAGAGAAAATCTACGATTATGGCAAACAACCATTTTTCAGTGCTGCTATACAGCCTTTTGGGCGTCGTCTGTTTTACTTAAGCGTCTGTTAAGGGAGCTGGGCTTCATTTAACCAGCAAGTCGCGCGTATTTTGGAGGCGGGCGAAAGCTACTTTTTAGGTTCTGTGGCCGCCATCTTTGATTTTGTAATAGAGGAAGAATCGCCCAAATCCCCCAACTTGTTTGAAATCCCAAGGGGCTGTTACTCGAGCAGAAATATTCGCGCACCCGAAGAAAACGCCTGTAATGAAGACCAGCCTTTATTTGAAATTAATTATTGATTTTCCGCTACAGGCTTGACATTATCATGCAGTTTGCAAAGACGTGTATGTCTGTGGTGGAACTTTTGTTCGGTTACTTCCTGATGTTGATCGCTATGACGTACAACGCGTGGTTCTTTATAGCTGTTGTGATTGGTCGCGGGCTGGGCTACTACATTATAACTCCACTTATCGGTTCACATATTTCAAGCAGTAGGTATACTGATGACGGTTATTATGACATTCCACGAGATTCTCCATTCACGAAAGGAAAGCGTCAGCCGTTATTAGGGAGAGCAGATGTCTAATAGAAACTGATGTCTTAACCAAACAGAGGACTACGTTCACGCATCGAGATGAACTGACTCGTAGCTTGAATCTCCCAAGTTCTAAAACATACTCAACCGATAGTAAATAGTGACCTTTAGATTCGAAAACGAAGACGACCACGAGGACAACTTCTCAAAAAATAGACAACCCGGAAGATTCATTAGGGAACTTTAGCAACCACGACGGCGACGGCAACGAGAACGCCAAAAAAAGCAATGGGTTTGTTAAGCCAAACAACAACTTTGCACGTGCATCACGCCTTTTTGTACATTTCTTTGCCGTCACTGCACCACTAAAACGTGAAAATGCCTGATTTCACGCTCTATGGAGGACGTAAACAAGCGACGACGAATTTTTCTTTCTCTTTTTAAACTTGACTGCGGTCGCCAAGAAATCAACGCTAGGGAAATTCGCCTACATTTGACATTTTCAGCGTAATAGAATAAACGCGACAATGTTTGAAAAAATGCGAATGTCTTTTCAAAGTGACCTTTTTCGCTGCCGTCGCCGCCTTCGATGCTAAAGCTCCCTATTGTCCTTTTTTCACCATATTTTTTTCTTGAAGAGGGTTAAGCCCTCTCCCGAGCGCAAAGTGAGAAAAAACTTAACAATTGATAACTTGTTCAGAGTTCCCGCTGTCACAGCGATATTCTTGCTGAAAGTTGTAGTAGAATTATGATGGCTTTTTTCCGCCAAAATGACGCTGGTTCACGCGCGCGCACTACTTTATATTGAGCTCGCCCTCGTAGTCTTTCGTCGTCTAATCTAAAGGTCTCTATTTGCAGCGCGAGAACCAAAGTCATCGTAGAAAATTTTCAGCCTGTTTCTACAGTGTGTAAAGAAAGGTTTACCCACGCTTCAAGGACGCTCTTATTTAATAGCCTGTTCCTGGCGTTCAGATAGTAGGGCGCGACGGTAAGTGGGGAGCAAGTTAAATTGTACACCGAGAAAACGGGGGGGGGGGGGACCCCATCTTCCCCCCTCCCCCCCTCCTGACCCACATGAAAATAAAAACAGAAAAAATTTTTTCGGTGTTTTTAAAATGTGAAAAAAGGCTTTTCCACCCCCGTATTAAGGTCGTTTTTTTTTGTTCGGGTGGGTCGGGGGGTGAGGGGGGGGGGGGGGGGGGGGGGGGGGGAGGAAAAAAATTTGGAGGGGGGGGGGGGGGGGGGGGGGGGGGGGGGGGGGCCAGCGTTTTTTTTTCTTCGTGAATTTTTCTCCCGTGCTCTACTATCTGAACGCCTGGAACAGACTATTATTGAAGATAAATTTCATTTTTGAATTACTTGAACTTTTTCACTCCTCAACCATATTACGGCAGGATAACGTTAGGATAGGATAGGATAGGATAACTGCTTTATTATCGACAGAGCGCCTACAGACACGTGTTTATAACGATAACAAAGATTTTAGTGCAATAATTACTGAGGTGTAATGTTATCACTCTACCTTTTGAGTCTATGGACGAAATCCCAAGGTATTAACGTTCAAACGACACTCTTTGGCAGAACGTTTTCATGGTACTATTTATTTCTTCAGGAATTTACGAAACGATATTGGGAAATTTGGACAGTTTTAGGAGGGAAGGGTGAAACACAATCACATTGGTCGCTTACATTTTGATGATCAGCATCAAGGGCAGTCAGTTTCGAAGCATTAATTATTTTCTCATATAAAAATTAACTTCTTTTCTGACTGAATTTGTATGTACATAATATAAATTTTTCTAAAAAAAAGACTACAATATATTTACATGTTTAACGCACTGTTTCTTGGCTGTGTAAAAATGAATCGTGGATTCCATTCGCTGCTTGGCAGATCTAGAGTACCCGAGTTACTTTCATAAGTCGTTTATAATGTGAAGGCTTTGTTAGCCCTTCAGATCACAAGAGTGACCAACAACAATACATCACCGAGGGAAAAGATCATAGAATTAATGCAATGATTATTTAGATCTGTTATTAAATTCTCTCAAAGAATTCTTTAAGAAAATGTAAGGATATCCAGTTGGAGAATATGTATGTGAATATTGGGGATGAAAGGGTTAAGACAGCTAACTGATAAGCCGAAATTGGCACTCATACTTACAGACTATTGACGCGGCATTTCCGTTAAATGAATGAGTGCTTGCGTTGCCTATTAATACAGTTACCCATTTATAAGACTCTGAAGGAGGGTCCTGAGGACTAGGAGAGCTGGGAAATATTAAACAAAAAAAGTTAAGCCTTGATAACAGGCCAGCCTCTTTTGGATCATATGTGCTTTCACAGCATATTATGTGCGCATTTACCCGCTGGCAAGCATGCCGGTGTGATACAAAGAAGGCCCGCGTATCGGTTCGGGATTAAACAATGGTTGTTTGACGACAACTGCGGGGTACTTGCTTCCTAGCATTTCCACCTCCAATTGGGAACCCAACGTAGTCAAATAAGCTGGCAAATAGGCGAAACATATGCTCTTCTTAAGCTGGTAACTGTATGAACCACTGGACGTAAATCCTACAACCTAAAGAGGAAATACACCCGTTAGTGTGTTAAGTCATTACTTTATGAATGGCCCCAAGCTTCAACGCTCACTACATTATTTTTTATTTGCTGTTGAGGGTTGGCGGTTTAACTCAAAATGTCAGTCCTATTTTCTTAAGGCGGTAACAAGAGAAAATGCCGAGAAGAAAATGCGAAATTCATGCCAAGACTGTCTGTCTTTTCGCATCAGGCCAACACTGTGCAGTCTGACTCTCAGACGTCCGAGGTCGATCACGGCCCCTTCGCTTCTCTCCCTCTCCACGGGAGAGAAGCGGAGAGACCGAACGTCTGAGAATCAGGCTAACACAGTTGGGCGTGTGAATAAAAATTTTATTTATTTCTAGTCTCTACGTACACTGAGGCTAACTATCGTAGTTTAAGTTATCAGGCTGGTCAGTGGTACTGTTTTGAGAAATGATATAGCTTTCATCTTTTAGGTGGCACGCTATAAACTTTGTTTCGCGTTACCTCATTTTGAAACCACACAGTTTCGTTGCCTTCAGGGTCCTTGTCTGTTGTATCGACAGTTAAAAAACACAAAAGACGCTTACAATCTTCCTTTCTCATTTGAAGAAGAGCATCTCGTCCAATAAAGTCGACACCCTGCCAAGATCAAACGGACTAAAGTTAAGTTGTTATAGAAATAAAGATATTTCAGTGGACGCCTAGAAAACAATGTGAAGAAAACTGACTCCACAAGGTTCGATCTCTCATACAACTATCAGCAGGCTACCCACGCACTATTACTAAATCAGCTTGGGTTGGCTGCCACAAGCTGGGTTATGTGACGAACGTACCGCCTGGGGCTACATTAAACAGAAATAGAGACGAATAACCTTTAAGTCTTGTTGCATACCTTCTGCAATTTTACGTAACTCATTAAATCCGCCTCAACTGGGTTTGTTGACATGTTCATCTGCATACAAACATAAATAAAAATAACGATAAATAATTCGAAAGGTAGATGTAAACAAAAAATGGGCATGGCACACATTGTTTTTCGTCACAACTAGATCATCATCATCATCATCATACTAATCATCGACATCGCCATCGTCATCATTATCATTATTAATAGTAGTAGTATTGTACCTCGTATCCCCAGGCATGGAAACCTTTCTCTAGTCTCAGTGAGTTTACTGCGTACGTGCCGAAGTCACCGATCCCATAATCCTCACCGGCCCTTAACAAGGCTTCGTAAAGCTGAGCTGTGTAATTTTTGTTGTGAAACAACTCCCACCCTAACTCGCCTACAAAATTAAAATAACACCATTTAGCTTGATGCATAGATATGGACGACTGATTAAGCTTATCTTGGTATGATTATATGGCATAAAGTAGGAAACTGTAATAGAAAATAAAGTGTTTCATGTGATCTGCACAGTGATTTCGAGCCAAATGTAAAGGGAAAAAATGGAAAAAGACTCAGGCATGTTATTTTCGCAGAATTTAGGGCATCAGACCCCGATAAGACTGAATTGTTAAGTCTCCGGTTAAGTTATTAAATCAAATAAGAGCTCTCCGGTCTATATAATTAAATATCGTCCGCATTTATCTGAATGGCAACAACAGAAATATGTATGTTCTTACCAGTAAAGGAAAACCGACAGGCCTGTACAGACAGTCCACACAATTCAACGGTTTTAAATGCCAAATAAGGAAACGCCTCATCTCTTAAATCTGACGACGTCAGCTTGGAAAGAACTTCACGTGATCGAGGTCCAGTGATGCCCAGACAGGCCACGTCATCAGTGATATTCTTGATCTGGACATCATAATTAAATTTACGCTGATTTTCCAGTAGCCACCTGTGAAAAAGCAAGTTTTGTATCTTATTGAACAAACTACTCGACGCTTAACTTGCTTGGAAAAAATACACGACTGTATCTCTTATTTGTTTGGTTTATCTTCCCGCTCCTAACCTCCTTCGAGCTTGCCTCTTCATAGCCAGCACAGCTGCCCACTCCCCTCAAACAAAACCGGAGGAGCGCCTACATAGGCTACCCCCTTCCCATAACTCCCTGGAATCCAGGAACAACAACTCTCAATGGAAATATAAAACTAGATGAAGCCTTCGATATACAAAGTAATATATACCTGAGGTCGTGAAACTCGCTGGAACTTCCAGTTACCAACAAATAATGGTCTGGCGCCAAGCAAGAGACATTCATTTCCGCGTACACTTTCCCCTTTGGTGTCAACATAAGGCTTATGTTTGTGTGCCCCACCTAATAATACAGTAAGAGAAGAGAACTCATTTCCTCGGCTACTTTCCCCGACAGCTTTCTCGCAGGCTCATCGTAAATCGACACTCAAGGAAGATAATCAAATAGCGACCTTTGGATTCTAAGACGGGAGCGACAACGAGTACGAGATTTTTTCAATACTAAGTAGTGCTCGCTCGTGAACCAGCGTCACTTTGGCGGGAAAACGCGACAGCTGTCGTCGTTTGTCGTCATTGTACTACGAGTTTAAGCGAGAATGTCCTACTGGCAAAAACAAGTTATCACTAAAATTTTGGAAGGTTTATCAATTTGCAAATGGGAGAGGGCTAGACCTCCTTCAATTAAGATAACTGTGCTAACTTTTCTGGTGATTCAAAAGTACAATGAAGCTTTCCGAGGTGTCTACTTTTGGAGAATACGCTAAAACATCTTTCAGTCTGATCTCGTACTCGTAGTTGTTTTCGTCTTCGAATCTAAAGGTCTCTAATAATTGTGCTATAACAGGGAAATCCTTAACAAGAAATAATTTTAATCGTTTGATGACCAGCCGTTGTTTGGGTAATGAGCACAATACGACCTAACCTGTTTACAGTCCCCTATTTTTCGTAAGATCGTCAGGACCGAGCGCTTACCGCTGCGGGCGGCCATCGTGGTTTCATATGTAACGAGTGGGCGGGCGTCGGGGTCTAAAGCGTCCTCCCAAACATCATCATCATCATCAATCTTTATTTATACACGAAATCGTATCATTTTACATGGTCTTCCTAGGAATCGTGTTTAAAACTAGACTAAAATACTAAGACTAAAAGACTAAGGAACTATTGACTATAATGTTAAAAATACAAGAACTTACATTATGAATAATAAGAGTTACAATGGGTCATGGTGTATTAGAAAAATCTTTCCCATGAATTAAAGTTTTAAAAACATTTAAACTAGGCAGTTTTCTAATCTCTGAGGGAATCTTGTTCCACAGAACAGATCCTCTGTAGTGTAGGCTCCTTTTCTTCTCCCGTTCCCCTAAGTAGATTTGACACTCGTTTAAGGGCCTGTTTACATGGGGTGGGGGACCCCAGATAGGTGAGGTAACATGCAGCGGGTCACTCCACCTGTCATGCAAACGTGATCAAATTAAAATGAGAGATTATGTGGACAGGCGGGTTACCCACCAAAGCGGGTGTCCTCACCTACCTGGGGTCCCCCTCCTCCATGTAAACAGGCCCTAAGACGGCCACCCGCAAAGCAAAGTAAAGCGCTTGATCTCGACGATCTTACGGCAAAATAGGGGGCTGTGAACAGTCTAAACAAGACAGGAACCAAGAGTAAAGGCGGAAATCGAGCCTAGTAACCAACCACACCCCCAAAATGTACATGTCTTGTGTAAAGGATTAATGTTGCAAGGCGAAATTATATCAGTATTTTGAATTCCCTCCAACAGAACGCAATTAACTTATTTTTGGTAAAAAGGTGAACCATAGAATCCAACCATACAAAGCCATCATAAGTTCGGTGTTTTCAATTATTATTTTTTTCAGCAATAAAAAATAACCATCTTACCTTGGGTAGTTCATTGGCAAAAATCACATCTAGAAAAGAACCAGCGCCATTTCCTGTCACCTCAATTTTTGCACAAGGAGACAGGTCTATAACGCCAACTTTATTCAGGACCAGATCACATTCTCGACCAACGGGCTCGAACCAGTTTGTCCGTCGAAAACTGGGTTTATAACCTGGCTCATCACCATCAAGTGCGAACCAGTTGGGCTGCTCCCAACCAGAGCGCATGCCCATCTGCGCGCCACGCTCACACAGCGTCTGCAAAAAGATACAAAAAGGCGTTGCCGAGAAATTTTAGTTCTTTTTGCAGCTTCGTCTAAACTTTTTTAAAAGTTTAAAAGTTTAAGAGCCTAAAAGCTCTTTTTACTAGATTTCTTTTCATCATCCTTACCAGGAATATGATTCAAAATTTGCCTGGTTCACGGTTTGTTCGTTTTTCTAGTCATAGAGTAGACTGTTGCGTCCAGATAGTACACCCAGTCGTATATTTTCGATTTGATTTAGTCTGAATTATTTCGTTCTTTACAATTGATGCGTTAATTTGTTGTCTGTTAGCATCTGAAAAGTCACACTTATAATGAATGCCATGTGGTACAATGTTGAGTTTAACTTTGTTAAACGACATTAAAGAAAATCCTTGTTAACAAATTCAACTTCTTGCTGTGAATACCTAACCGCAAAAAAGGTTAAACTATCTAGTATTCGTCGGTGTAGACAAGCGAGGTCAACTACCAAGTGTTTAAAAATATTGAATGTATAGAAATGTGATCTCCTTTAGTCCGACATGTTCGAGAAAAAGAACTTTCCGTTAAGACTTGCCTTGTAGATACCACTCGTCCTAGCAGGTCGCCCAGCCCACCTTTCTACCTTAGGATGACTCATTTCATTGTTCAGACCATACGTCTCTCGAACCTTTGCCAAAACGTATTCTCTTGTGGCCCAGTTACCATAGCGATTAGGTTCCCATTCAATGAGGTCGAAAGGCGGTTCTCCTTCAATCATCCAGTCAGATAAGTATTTGCCGATACCACCTGTAAAATGCAGTTTAAAGATGGAATAATTTTTATCAAGTATAAAACAAGATGAGATAAGCACCAGGCTACATTAGCTTTCCATGACAACTAACTTCGCAGAATAACTTTCGCTCCATTTGCTTTATCTTGGGCGGCAAAGATCTCAAAGTTATTTTGCAACTAAAGCTTAAACGACCCGACAAGAGCTTTGCGTAATCAAAGGATTAAGGGCTCTCCACATTTGTCCAGGCCTTACTTAATAAATTGGTGGTATGTTTTGCCAATGTGGAAATAATCTTAAGGTGGATCGCGCGCAAATCGACCACTGAGGAAACCAGCAAAGAAAAAACAGCCCGAGAATGTCCTTAGCTTCAAACTGTTTTACGCTGTATGGTCAATTTTTATTACTTAGTGCAGCAGGATTTGGATCTGGTGATGATTAAAGTCTGAATGAACCTACCAGCCAAACCAATCCCGTAACCCGTCCCGAGGGCCAGCCACATATTAGGAACCCGTGCATCGGGACCAACCAGAGGAATAGCGTCGGGTGAGTAGGTAATGGGACCTGATACAACACTTGTAATTTCAGCGTTTGCGAGCACGGGTGTTCGTTTCATGGAGTATTCCACGTAATCGCTGATTCGGTTCAAGTCACTTTCGAATAATTCCTTCCCGAAACCCTCGGGTACCACATCCCACCTGGAAAATATAGGCATAGAGATTAATTACACGCCTGTATCGAAGTTGAATTTGACCCAAGCAGATCTGACCCAGCAATGACCAACAAAAATCTTACTTGATTCATGCAGAGTCTTTCTTCAAACGCCAAAATCGAGCAGGCAACAGCAAGACTCTGCTGACAGAGTGAAACCTCCTAAAACTTACCAATCATCTTGCATCTTCATTTTTTCAGCACTCTCATAGACGCCAACTGCAATCCCTTGTCTCTCCTGGCGAGTGTAAACTGAACCCTCCAAATCTCTCATGAAAGGAAGTTCTTTCTTTAAATTGGCTACTTCAGGAATTGTTCCAGTTACCAAGTACTGATGATATACCACGCCCAAGGGAAGCTCGGTTCCGACCATGCGTCCTATCTCTCGCCCCCAAAAACCTTCACGAGAAAAAAAAAGGAGGAAGTTATTTGTTGATAAGCAATATTGCCGAATAAAGTTCAATTTCAAGTGATCGTTTTGCATTTTTACATGCTACAAACAACTAAACACTTCCTAGACAAGATTAGATTAAGTACGCAATTCTTGTTTTAGTGTTGTAGTTAAGATATAACTGTAAGGTAGACCCGTGAGCTGCGAGCTGGGGCAGAATGAACATCCCAGTTGTAAACGGTTTGAGCCCACGTCACTTAATATTAACAACAGTTCTGTTCAGAACCACACAGTCCTGGAAGAACACTCTTGACCTGTTGGGGAGAATCTCCAATTACCTGACCCAAATAAAATGACAGTTGGACCATTTCGCGCCTCATCCGACACTTCGAACCATATGAGATCTTCAAAACGCTCGGAGCAATCTAGATAAAAGGTGTTGTTCAAGCCTAACTAAACAGACGTTTTCCTGATTTAACAGAATTTGTTATTGTTATAGCTGTAACTAAGAACCAATCAAGAGTAAACTGATATTAATTTCTATTTCCGTTACCTGCCGCATTAACAACCTGTTTTGCTTTGATCGTCCCGTGTGGGGTGAGCACATCCCATCTTCCATCAGATCTGAGATTGAGTCCAGTGACTGGTGCAGGCATGTATATCTTGGCCCCATACATCCGCGCTCCAATTGCAAGGGCCTGGGCCAAGGAATATGGGTCAGTGTAGCCATCCTCTGAAAACGCGATTTATGAAAAGTAAACTTATTGCGTATAAGTCTGATTATGATTATACCTAGACTCTGTGGGAGTTCGTTAGTCTGGGCCGCCTGTGATTATACCACAATGGACGTTTACTATTGCACCAAGCCAAATAAAGAGAAGAGAAGGCAAAAGCGAGAGGCCAAACAGGAAACTGCAAGAGAGACCCGAAAGAGACCGTCATGTGTCGTCTCCACGTCAAAACCCCCCACAGCATCGAAAAGCGCGACCCACATAGCCGTGTAACCAATGAAAGAGAAAAAGAGCGTCTATGCTACTTAATGATTCCTTACCAGGAAAGTACAAAGCTCCAAGTACATCATCTACATTGAGAAGCGGATGAACCTTGGTGACCTCTTCTGTTGTAATTATCCTCTGTGGTGACTTCATCCAGCCATGCCTCTGCATTTGATACTTTGCCTCGTCAAGTCTTTCAGGAGTTGTGCATATTCTTATACTGCCACACATATGAAACCCTACGTCCTAACAACCGAAAAAAAAAGATACACAAAAAGAGAAAAATAATTCACAAAATCCTCCGTGATGTGAAAGTGAAGAAGGAAACAACTGCAGGATTCTGACGCATTCGCATCACGTTCGTTGAGACAAAGTAGTCAAAGAAGCTTGAATTGGGTTATGCTAGCCCTTGGTGGAAGGGATGCAACTTTTTAGAACCTCCTGAAATCGAGGATATTGCAAGAAAACTAACCATAAACAGGTGTATATTCCCCCAGGGGTATTCCTGCGAATTTGTTTGGTTCTCCAAATCCCGATCCTATTTCAGACCAAAAGATTGTCGTTTTTCACACCCGTTTTCAGACCAGGCCTCTAAAATCCATACCCGTTTTCAGACCTGGCGTAGGCAGAAATTATGTCATTATTACTTATTAGAATGCCAAAAAAAAAGATTAATCCATTTCGAATTGGCATATTACTCTTCTTTCTTATTCATTTCGAATTGAAAAGACAAACACGTTTATAAACTCCCGTAGTTCCCCCGGAAACCTTACCAGAATTCAGACTAAAATGGGTAAAGTCTATATCCGTTCTCAGACCAAAACGGTGCAAAAACCACACCCTTTGGGGCGGCACATACCTATAAGGCAAGGCAAATATAAGGAATAATCCCCCCCCCTCACCCCCCGAACTCACCTGACCAGTTTCCTGTGGAAGTTGCTTGTATAACAACATGCTATAGTGTGTTAATGGCTTTATGTTCACAACTGGATTGTAATGCGAAGTAACGCCGAGCTGAAAGAAAAACGGAAACTCAATTGACGATGAGAATACTAGTAACCCGATCAGAACAGAAAGGAAAGATTGAGTGAGAGTACAGCTTTTCGTCCACCTTCTGATCAGCAACAGGATGAAGTGAAATTTGAATGTGGTGCAATCCCACCCGCCCTCTGTACACACGCCGTGGGGACCTGCTCTAAATGTACGTCTTAGAGAGACTCAAAAAAAATGATTAAAGAGTGGAAGGGGAACTTCCTTGCCGTCTTGTGCTTCAGGTATTACATCAAGCATAAGATTCAGTGTTTCATCACCAGAAGAAACACCGAGAAGAGAGTTGAAAATACGACGCGCAGCAGAGTGCTTGTACTTGATATCACTTCTGAAACAAAATGATTTTAGAAGAAGAAATTAAGGATGCAGAAATGAGCAGTTTTTCATCTGATTTCCATACACTCATTACACATTCCTCTGTATTTTCTTTATGAATTATTGATCAGTTTGAGAAGGTTGGTTCTAACTTTTGAGAGTGCGGTTGAAAACCTATGGTGTTGCCATTCAATTGAATTCTCCTATGCCGATAAGAGTCCATTTATCGCTGGTGTTAAAATAGCCTACCGAGTGCCAAGTTGAGCCGGCTGTGAGCTCTGACTTCTCAAGTAAAACCACATCTTTCATTCCACCTTTTGCCAGGTGATAGGTAATACTAGTACCCAAGGCTCCACCGCCAATAACAACCACTTCTGCATCCTCTCTAAGACGCTTATTCAGCGGTTTATGGCTGCAACAAATAAAAAAAACCCTCTGAATTATCATCTTTTCGGAGTGATCATAAAGGATACTGCCAGCATGCTTCTAGCCCACTTTGTTCATACACAGAGGAATATGGTAATTCCCGATCTACGTCCGTTGCGACTTCACCCTAGGGTTTTTAAAAGAGGGAAACCAGTATGGCCTGGGGCCTATTGATTGTGTCGACAGTGCCCATTGATTGGGTGCTCCCGAAAACGCCACGTAATGTCTAACTCTTATTACGAAACAATTTCGATTTGCGAAAGAGAAATGTCGCGCTATTCTCATCTTATTTTACATCACTTCAAAAACTCGCGGGGTGCAAGCTGTCTCTCAGGTGCCCGGATTTTCACGTGAAACTGCGTGTTGAGCCTGCGTGCAAACCGTGCAAACGAACCTCGTTCCCAGTTCCTCTGGTTAGCAGACATGTTCTTTTACATGTCTTAACCCTTTAAGCCCCAATATCCACATACAAATTCTCCAAACTGATCTCTACACATTTCTTTCATGAATGAATTGAGATATTTTGATAAAGATCAAAACATTTTCCCTTATGCGATCATTTTGTTAATTCTCACAACCTTATCTTTTGACATTGTATGGATATTGTTGCGAGAAAATTGATGTTGATCACTATTGGGACTTAAAGGGTTAAGTCAAGCGGATCTCTTAACAATCTAGTGCAGTCCCTTTTTTCAGATTTTGTAAAGTGAGATTGCTGTATTCATCAGACGTTTTTGGAAAATACGAGGTTTGCGGACAGTTGACACGGAGCAAAAACTTCGTCTGGGCACCAAATGGTTTCTAAAAATGACATTTCGTGCAAGGCGACGAGCGTTGAGTAAAATTCAAGAGTTTTAGACAACATCACGTACATCAGTGTCCCACGATCCCGTTAAACAGGCAAGGCCGGTTTACTGGTGTCTCATTTTCGACTTAATTGAAGGGTCAAGACAAATATAGCCATTTTATTGGCCTTTCGGGTATGTGAATGGGTTTGTTTATAAACAGTATTACGTCAGCTGAAATGCGTTGTGTTTGTGTCCTGCCATCCATGAAAGCAAAACACTGTCACGCAATGTATTACAGTCCTTTTCGGGGATTAAAGTTGGGCCGCTCTTTAGAGTAAAAGAAATTAAGGACCAAGACATTCAGCTGTTTAAATTACATTATATACGACGAATTCCCGTGCAGAATTGCCTTTATAGCAGAGTTGAAAAAAATGGTTTTGTTTCCTTGTCACGGAAAACTGCCCATGTCTTTTGCATTTATTCTGCAAGGAAAACCAGCTGTGAATGAAATTGAAAAGGGACAATTGTACCAAAAAAATGATAGACCTTCTCGGAGTAGCTTGAAGGTGGAGTAAAACCGAGATCGCGCGTGATGTGTCTTAGTTTGTTTGACAAAAAACTGAGCCCGAAGACAAATAATATTGTTATAAAATTTGGTATGCAAAAAAAAACACACAAAGACAAAGTTTAACTGTCTAGAGTAAAGCCAGATTTGAGATATGAAACTGGTTGACGAGATCGTTATGTCGAGCTTATCTTTAGTCAAAACCCGTGTGGAATTTAGCATAGAATTGTATAGAAACGTTGGAAAAGTCATCGAGATCAGTAGATCTTTCAGTTTTAAACATAAAAGTATTTTGCTTCGAATGTTGGAAAAAATTTACTATTCACAGTTTTTTTCTAAGACCTCAAATCTAACGGGTATAATTTATAGACACTTAAAAAACTTGGCGGAGTTTAGTCCAAAAAGATCTATATTTCAAACAACTGTACCGATAATATGAACTAAAACACTAACATTAGGTTCTATGAACGGAGAGAAAAAATATACATATATATTCTCATTCTTACCTTGAGTCCTGGGAATTTGAAGAGAGTTGACCAGTAGAAAGGAATCTGGAATCAAACTTCCTACAAAGTGTTCTTATTTTCGACACAGAATTTCTGCTATTTATATGAACTCCCTGAAATTTCGATCGCAAGGGCAAAAAGCCGAGCATTTTGTTCCACGGCGTTGTATGTCAATTTCAATGTTGATATTCGCACAGAATTCAGCCTAAACTGTCATGAACTGTGTACTGTAAATGGGGAAGACAGTAGGCGAAGGGTTACAACTAAATTCAGTGTAGGAAAACTACCCACGGCCGAATTTTCACCCTTTGCCGTAATACAGTAATAAACAAATGAGTTTTCAAGCAAACGCAGTCAGCCAACATTTACTGGTTTATGCACTTCGAAGGCTCCTGACAAAACTGGTTTGAACATACTGGTTTTGTTTTTTTCACCCACTTTTTCGCATAGCCGGTAAAACTCGTCAAGGCGCTGTTTTCACGGTGTTTTAATTTTTTGATTTTTTGCCAATTCACCCAAACACGACAAACTCACGAGTGGCTTTGTTGCGTAACATAAATTGTGAGAGTTGCATGAATCCTCAGGAGCATCTTTAAGAGGTGGGAATAATTCAGTAATATTGAATAACTTGCCATGAAATACCCAATGGGGAAATTTTCAATGGTCTGTTTACGAATGGCGGTAACTTTTTCAGCTCTCATTTTAATTTCATGCAAAAAATGGATGTAATCGCACTTGTGGACGTATAAGAGGACTAGGTCAAAATATTTTGGAAGATTACATGGGTATCTTCATAAACTTCGCGCTCTTTACTGCAGTTGAAAATGGCTATGGAAACTCATTCATGTACAACCTTGGACTGCAATTCTTTTCCCCTTTCCTGCAAATGTCTTTGCAACAACGATTAAACCTACTTCGACTCGAAGTAGGTTTAATCGTTGTTGCAGAGAAACTGAGTTTAGTGTTTTACCCTGCCCTTGGATTGTAGGGGTTATTTGGAACTTTAACTCGTGTCAAGGCCAGGTTTGCATGTAATAACCGATACATCTTCTGCATGGAAAAAGTGGTTTCAAAGACTGCATCTGAGACCGGATAGTATTGTTGTCAAACACGTTTTACGCGGGGTATGCCATACCAAGTTATCTCATCTGCCATCCGTTCACACCTACGCTGACGATACACAGCTATATATATCGTTTAATCCCGTTGATAAGACCAGCGAGGCTGATGCTGTGATTGCGATTGAGAGCTGTATTCGTGACGTTCGCGCTTGGATGAGAGATGATAAGTTAATGCTAAATGACGATAAAACTGAGTTCTTGATCATTGGCACGGAACGACAGTTATCAAAGGTGTCCGTTGACAAGATCAAGATCGGCCAAGCTGAGGTATCGCCTGCTTCTTCAGTGCGCAATTTGGGCACCTGGTTCGATTCTCATC